TGTAAAATTATCTTTCAAAAGTGCAGGGGAAATAAAGATTATCTCAGATCAAGAAAAACTGAGGGAATTTGTTCAAAGATCTGTTTTGTCACAAAAGTTAAAAGACGTTTTCAAAGAGAAGAAAAATGATATAGATCAAAAAACTACATTAAAAAAAGAAAAAAACATCAGAGAATGAATAAATGAAGGTAAAATAAAAAGTTTTACTTTTCTTATTGATTTAACAGATAAGTTTTTTTCTAATAATAACAGCAATAACGTATTTGATTGTATGTTTATATATAAGTAAAATGAATGACAGCAACAATACAAGAGACAAGAGAGGGAATTACAAATGTTTTGTCATTATAAAAGACTTGCACTATCTGTGAAGCAGTATAGTATTGATTTAAAATGAACTTGAATCAGTTGTAAATATATACTGCAAACTCTAGGGAAAAAAACAGAAAAAGTAAAATGAAAAGCTGATTTGCTAAGTAAGAAAAAAAATGGAATCATAAAATAATCAAAACTGCAAAAGGCAGAAAGTGTTAGACAAAAACAAGAAAAAAGGCAACAAATAAAACAATAATAAATATAGTAGCTATTAAACGAACTATATCAATAACTTTAAAGGTCAATTGAAAGAGATTGTCAAACTAGATAAAAAAAAACACAAACACACACACACACACAAAACAAGACCCAAATATATGTTTCTATAAGAAATCAACTTTAAATAAACATAAAAACACAAAGATTAAAAGTAAAAAGATGGAGATTTAAAAGTTCTTATCATCCCCCCCAAAAAAACCCTGTACCTATATGTAAAAAGTTAAGAGAAGAAGAAAAATATATAATGCTAACACTTAATTTTAAAAAAAAAAAAGGCGAGTAGCTATATTAATTTCAGACAGAGCAGACATCAGAGCAAGAAATAAAGATAATGATACAGGGGTCAATACTCCAAGAAGATATAATATTTAGCGTAGATGCACATAACAACAGAGTCAAAATACGTGAGAAAAAACTGATAGAACTGCAAGGTGAAATATATGAATTCACAATTACAGTTGCAGACTAACAACCCTCAATCAGAAATGGACAGATCCAGCAGACAGAAATTCATCAAGGACACAGCTGACCTCAACAATACCATCAATCAACTAGATAAAATTGACACCTATAAATTATTCCATCCAACAAGAGCAGATAAGATTTTTTTTAACTGAATTTTATTGAGGTGACATTGATTAATAAAATTATATAGGTTTCAGGCATACAATTCTGTAATACATTATCTGCATATTGTATTGCATTCACCATCCATAGTCTAGTCTCCTTCCATCATCATTTATTCCCCCCCCCCCCCCCGCCTTTACCCATCTACCTACCCCTACCAGCCTAACATTCTGGTAATCAACATACATATGTCTGTGTCTATGAGATGTTTTTTTCTTTATCCTTTTATGTATTTCACCCAGTCCCGCCTCCACCCTAAAAAAAACTCTCCCTTTCAACAGCTGTCAGTCTATTCTATTTTGTTTGTTGTTTATTAGATTCCACAAGTAAGTATAATCAATATGGTATTTGTCTTTCTCTGACTGGCTTATTTCACTTATCATAAAACCGTCTAGGTTCATCCCTGCTGTCGCAAAAGGTAAAAGTTCCTTCATTTTTACTGCTGAATAGTATTCCATTGTGTAAATGTACCAGAGTTTTTTATCCACTCATCTACTGATGGACACTTGTGCTGCTTCCAAATGTTGGCTATTGTAAATAATACTGCAATGAACATTGGGACACATATATTCTTTCAAATTAGTGTTTCGGATTTCTGTGAATATATTCCCAGAGGAGGAACTGCTGGGTCATAAAGCAGTTTCATTTTTAATTTTTTGAGGTAACTCCAGACTGTTTTCCACAGGGGCTGGCTGCACCAGTCTGCATTCCCACCAACACTGCATGAGGGTTCCCTTTTCTCCACATCCTTGGCACTTTGTGGTTTGTTGATTTGATGACAGCCATTCTGAGAGGTGTGAGGTGATACCTAATTGTGGTTTTAATTTGCATTTCCTTGATGATTAGTTACACTGAACATCTTTTCATATGTCTATTGGTCATCTGTATGTCCTCTTTGGAGAAGTGTCTATTCAGGCCCTTTGCCCATTTTTTAATCAGGATTATTTTTTAGTGTTGAGTTTTATAAGTTCTTTATAAATTTTGGCTATTAACCCCATATCAGATGTGTCATTGGCTAATATGTTTTCCCATTCAGTAGGCTGTATTTTCATTTCGTTGGTGATTTCTTTTGCTGTGCAAAAACTTTTTAGTTTATTGTAGTCCCATTTATTTTTCTTTTGTTTCCCTTGCCAAGGAGATATATCAGAAAAAATACTGCTACAAGAAATGTCTGAGATTTTACTGCCTATATTGTCTTCTAAGATTTTTATGGTTTCGAGTCTGACATTTTTAAGTCTTTAATCCATTTTGAGTTTATTCTTGTGTAAATTGGTGGTCTAGTTTCATTTTTTTCTTTTTTTGCACATACCTGCCCAATTTCCCCAACACCATTATTGAATAGACTATCTTTACTCCATTGTACATTCTTGTCTCCTTTGTCAAATATTTATTGACCACAAAGGTGTGGATTGATTTCTGGGCCTCTATTCTATTCCACCGATCTATGTCTGTTTTTATACCAGTACCATGCTGTTTCATATACATTTGCATAATTCCTCAAACTTCGTCCTTCTTTCTCAAGATGGCTGTGCAGATAACACATTCTTCTCAAGCTCAAATAGAAAATTCATCATAGACTATGGGCCATAAAATTTAAAAAAATAATAACAAATTTAAAATAGAGGTTATACAATGTCTGGTTTCAGAAACAATGAAATTAAAATAAAAATCAGTAACAGGAATGTAGTTTGGAAATCCCAAAATGCTTAATAATTAAACAATACCCTCCATATAATACATGTATCAAAATATATTTTGAACCAAATGATAAATATACAACTTATTAAAATTTGTAGTATCTAGTGAAAACAGTCCTTAGAAATTTACAGCACTAAATGCATAAATTAGAAGAGATTTAAAATCAATAATCTAATCTTCCATCTTGGGAAACTAGGAAAACAGCAAATTAAACCCAAAGCAAGCAGAAGAAACAAATTTAAAGTAAAACTCCATTTTTTGCAACTGAAATTAAAAACAGGAAATCAATTGAGAAATAACAATGAAACCAAAAGTTGATTCTTTGAAAAGATCAATAAAATCGGTAAGCCTCTAGCCAGAAAAAAGAAAAAAGAAGACAAATTACTAATATTAAAAATTAAAGAGGGACATCAAAAGACAGTAAAGAAACACAATGAGCAACTCAATGCCCACAAGTTTAATAACCTAAATAAAATGGACACAATATGCCAAAACACACACAAGAACAGACAATCTGAATAGGTTATATCTATTAAAGAAATTGAATCAACAACCTTCCAAAACAGAAAGCATCATGCCCAGATGCAATCACCAGTGAATTATACCAAACATTTCAAGAAGAAATTTTACCAATTCTCTACAATCCCTTCCAGAAAGTAAAAGTAGAGGGAATTCCTTCTGATTCTATGAGGCCATGGTAATCCGAATACCAAACCAAACAAAGAAATTACAAGGAAACTACACATCAGTATCTCTCAAGAACACAAATACAAAAATCCTCTACAAATTACAAATTATTAGCAAATCAAATACAACATTATATAAAAATTATACACCATTACCAAGTGAAATTTATCCCAGGTATGCAAGGCTAGCTCAACATTTGAAAATCAATTAATGTAATTCATCACGCATCAACAAACTAGAGAAGAAAAATCACATGACCATATAATCACATTCCACAAGATCCAACACCCATTAATAATAAGACAAAACCTCTTAAAAATCTGGGAGCATGAGGTAACTTCCTTAATTTGTGAAGCTCTTACAACTTTAAAGGACTTTACAAAAAACTTACAACTGACATTACCCTTAATAGGGAGAAACTCGAAGTTCTCCCACTAAGGAAACAAGGCAATGATGCCTTCTCTCACCACCTGATTACAGTCTTTTTTGTTTGTCTTTCGGTTTTTGTTGATCCTCAACCAAGGATATTTTTTCATTGATTTTTAAGGAGAGTAGAAGAGAGAGGGAAAGACAGAAACATCGATGTGAGAGAAACATCAATTGGTTGCCTCCTGCAGGAGCCCAAACCAGGGCCCAGGCCGGGGAGGAGCCTGCAACCAAGGTACATGCCCTTGACTGGAATCGAACCTGGGACCCCTGAGCCAAACCAGCTAGGGCCACACTGGAAGTCTCAACAAATTAGACAAGTAAAGGAAATAAAAGGTATACAACTAGGAAGGATTTGCACAGATGACATGATTGTCCATATATAAAAAATCCAAAAGAATCAACAAAAAAATTCCTAAAACTAATAACATATTATAGCAGGGTTGTAGGATACAGGTTAATATACAAAAGCCAATAGCTTTCCTATATACTAGTACCTGCTATAAATGAGTGGAATTTGAAATTTGAAAAACATTACCATTTATATTAATAGCACCCAAAAAAAGAAATGCACAGGTATAAATCTGACAAAATATGTATAAGACCCATATGAGGAAAACTACAAAACTCTGATGAAAATGGAGAGATTTTCCATGTCCATTGTCAAGATGTCGTTTTTCCCCCAACTTGATCTACATTGTAGGCAATCCCAATCATAATCCCAGCAACTCATTTTGCAAGTAACAACAAACTACAGTTGACCTTTGAACAACGCAGTGATCAGCAGTGCCAACTCCACCATGCAGATGAAAATCCCTGTATAACTTCTGACTCCCCAAAACTTAACGACTAATAGCCTACTGGAAGCCTTCCCAAAAACATAAACTATTGATTAATATATATTTTGTATGTTATACTAGTATATATCTTATATTGTATGCTAAAGAAAATGTTATTAAGAAAATCAAACCACCTACAAAGGCATGTCTGTGGTTCCCTGTCTTTGGACATCTAAGAACTGGAGGTAAAGAAATGTGGACTTGGAGAAGTCTGGAGCCAGCTTGCTCCCTGCAGGCTCAAGATCAACCATCCCACATAGGAAAAAAAAGAAAAGAAAATCATAAGAGGACATACATTTACAGTATTCATTGAAAAAAATCTGCACTAATAAAAGAGAAACATGCAAATTGGTGTCACTCTGCTACGCCCACCAGCCAATCAGGATGAGTATGCAAATTAACCCAACAAAGGTGGCGGTTAATTTGCATATGCAGGCGCGGGGTGAAGACTGAAGAGGCTTGGCTTCTCCGCTCCAGCTGCAGCGGAGAAGCCAAGCCTCGCTGCTGTGGCCGGACCAAAGGCCTGGGTCCCAGGTGCCGGACGAAAACTGGTGCCGGCAGCCAGGGGAAGGAAGGCCTATAGTGCGAATCTTCATGCAACGGACCTCTAGTCTACATGTTGTACAGTTCAAACTCATGCTACTTAAAAGTCAACTGTAATTCTAAAGTTTATTGAAGAAGCATGACCTAGAATAGCCAACTCAGATTGAAGGAGAACAAAGTCTGATATTACCTGACTTTAAGATTTACTTTAAAATCACAGTAACCGATCGGCCGATATGGCTCACTGGTTGAGTATCGACCCAGGAACCAAAAGGTCATTGGTTGGATTCCCATCATGGCACATGTCCGGGTTTTGGGCTCAATCCCCAGTGGGGATGCATGCAGGAGGCAGCCAATCAATGATATTCTTCTCTCATCAATGTTTCCACCTCTCTATCCTTTTCCCTTACTCCGCTCTAAAAAATCAATAAAAACATGTTTTAAAAAAAACAAAACAGTAATCAAGATAGGGTTGTATTGGTGAAAGAACAAACAGGTAAATGGGCCAGAACAGAGAACCCAGTGATAGACCCATATAAATATAGTCAACACATCTTGGACAAAGAAGAAAAGGCAATAGAATAAAGCAAAGACAGTTTTTAGAACAGATGATCCTAAATAATAAAAGCATAGTATGCAAAATGTCCCCTCGACCAGGAGTTCGTCGGAGAGTACAACCAGGGGGCGGGGGCGGCCGGAGGAAGGGAGGGAGGCCCCAGCCGGCAGCCAGCAGCCACTAGGGACCCTACCAGTGCACAAATTTCTAGTGCTGCAATAACTGGACTTCCATATGCAAAGAAACAAATCTAGGCAAAGATCTTACATCTTTCACAAAAAATTAATTCAAAATGGAGCACAAACCAAAATGTAAAATGTAAAACTTTAAAGTCCTAAAAAATACCATAAGAGAAAAACCTAGATCAGTGGTTCCCAATGTGGGGCACACACCCCACTGGGGGGCAATTTGATTTTTAAGGGAGGCAATTCAAGAATGAGTTATTAACAGTGAATTTTTTGCATTTCTTATGGTTCTAGGGGCCTAATATAAATATAAATATATATTGTGACATATTTATGCATTTCGGTTCTCTATTATATGTTTTGAAACTTTATTTGCTATTTTTCATATCACTTCATATCATTAATTTTTAAACAATTTTTTAGTGATTTCTTTCTCAGTACTTCAACTGTCCTTTCGTTCTTCTGTTTTTCTCTTTCATGGATGCCATGTTCTTTGGAAGCTTGTTTAGACCAAATGAATGGCCTTTTAGGCTTCCTCCATGTGAATAGGAGTTCACTTTTTGAATAATAAGAATTATATGTCACGGGGGTGGGGGAGGACATTAAGATTTTAGAGATGCTTTAGGGCAGCGGTTCTCAACCTGTGGGTCGTGACCCCTTTGGCGGTCGAACGACCCTTTCACAGGGGTCGCCTAAGACCATCCTGCATATCATATATTTACATTACGATTCATAACAGTAGCAACATTACAGTTATGAAGCAGCAATGAAAATAATCTTATGGTTGGGTCACAACATGAGGAACTGTATTTAAAGGGCCAGAAGGTTGAGAACCACTGCTTTAGGGCATGTCCAAAAAAAGGTTGGGATCCACTGACCTAGATGATCTTCAGGAGGGTGATGAGTTTTTAGATACAACACCAAAGGCATTACTCATCAAAGAAATAGGTAACTAGATTTCATTAAAATTCAAAATTTCTGCTCTATGAAAGACAGTATCCAGAGACTGAGAAGACAAGCCAGACTGGGAGAAAATATTTGCAAAAAACACATCTACCTATAAGCACTAACATTAGATTAACCAAATCCAACACTAATGCTGGCAAGGATGTGAAGCAGCAGGAATTTTCATCCATTGCTGGTGGGAATCAAAATGATACTACTATGGAAGTTTGGGGGTTTCTTAAAAACTAAACATTCTTGCCATGTAATACAGCATTTGCACACCTTAGTATTTTCCCAGATGAATCAAAAACTTATGTCCATATAAAAACCTCCATACAGATGTTTATAACAATTGTATTCATAACTGCCAAAATCTGGAAGCAATTAAGATGTCCTTTAGTGGGTGAATGGATAAAATGAGGTGCATCCACAAAATGGAATAATGTTCAGCACTAAAAATAAATGAGCTATCCAGTAATGAAAAGACATAGGAACCATAAATACACACTATTAAGTGTAAAGTCAAACTGAAAGACTACATACAGTATGATTCCAGCTATATGACATTCTGGAACAAGCAAAACTATGGAGACAATAGAAAGATTGCCAGGGGTTGAGGAGGGGAAGAAGAGATAATTAGGTGGCAATAGAGAAACAGCTCTGTTACACATTGTATGTGGGAAACGTATTTATACGTTTTACGTTGACTGTAAGTAGTAGAGCCACCTGTTACTACCCGCAAACAATGTGTTAAGGCAGTATGATACTACAATGGTGGATAGATATAATTTTACATTGAGAACAGCACCAAGAGTGGATTACACTGTAAACCATGGATTTGGGGTAATAATGATGAATATAGGTTCATCGATTTTAGCAAATGTACCACTGTGCTAAGGGGTGTTGATATTAGAGGAAGTTGATAATGCAGGGACATGGAATATATGAGAATTCTCTGTACTTACTATTCAATCTTACTCTGAACCTAAAATTGCTTGCCCTGACTGGTTTGTCTCAGTGGATAGAGCGTTGGCCTGTGGACTGAAGGGTCCCAGGTTCGATTCCAGTCAAGGGCATGTACCTTGGTTGCGGGCACATCCCCAGTAGGGGGTGTGCAGGAGGCAGCTGATCGATGTTTCTCTCTCATGGATGTTTCTAACTCTCTATCCCTCTCCCTTCTTCTCTGTAAAAAAAAAAATAAATAAAAAAAAATCAATAAAATATCTATTTTTTTTAAATTGCTCTAAAAACTTAAATTTATTATTTTTTAAAAAAACTGAGTTGGTAAAAACACCGCCATTCCTTTTAAGCCTTTCTACAAGCATTCACTATTTCACTCAACCAGCACTACTAGAGGCCCAGTGCACAATCATGCG